GGAAACCGCACTTTCGGGCCGCCCTGTGGCGCAGCCGCGACGCCCCCGACGGTGCAGCGCTGCTCGGCGCCAAACGCTCAGCGAGCGCTGTGCGCGCCACTCACCGCTCGCCGCGCCGCACGGCGGCACAATGTGGAACAGCCTTCCATCACCCGGGGCAAACTGCTTTCATTTCCTCGCCGGTCGCCGCCCTGCTCTGCAAGAGACGAGAGGCTTCCGAAATTTCATTGCCGGCGCTCGCCCGCGCACCTTCAAACCTATTGATTCTCGCTGGGGACGTGAGGTTAAGCGGTGTTTCGCTAGGTCAGTTTTGAGAAGGGTCTTGGACAGCGCGGGCCTGTGCCGGATTGGCTCGGAAGGGTGAAATGAAATCTATCCTCCATCCTTGTTCTGTAGTGTCCCTACGGCTTGATATGAAATTTTATCAGGCCATACGTGAGTAACGTGGCCTCACTACTTTTCTAACAATTCGTTACGTCACAAATTTAATCATTAATATAAACTAAGCAAAGTTTATTAGTGAGTGCTGCATCTAACTGCGCGCTGACTTCGCTCAATCACTTTGTAATAGTTCGGAAGGCAATATTAGAATTAAATCTTTCAAACATCAAATTAAATTAATTATTTTGGTTTGAAGAAACTTTAATTGTAGACATTGTAGACAAAGCGTTCATTTATGAATGTTTTAAATGCAGTGCCGTTTGATCATCAGAACCATACAAAATAATTTTCCTTCTTTTTTTTTCCCTTATCGTCAGTTTCCTTACAATTCCTGGTACTTTCCTTATTCTCAGAGAAGATTTATCAAAAAGAGTTATTTAATACAATAAACTATTATAGTATTGTATGTTTAATTGCAATATCTACTTGAACATATTTAGAGATTCGCAGGTATTAACTATCATTATAAGACTTCCACATCTTCTTTCATTAATTCGCGGCCGCAAACTTGGATATCATTATGACCGAAGCGCCCTAGGTTTTAGGTGTATTTCGGGGGGGAAATAGTTCCATTATTAGGAGGCATTACTTCAAGCGCATAGGTTTCAAATAACTATAAAACAGGTTAGGTTTGCACATACAAATGTATTATTTTATTTTATTTCTTCAAATACTAAAGAAATATTTGAACATTTAAAGAAATTAAAATTTTAAGCTCTTCAAAAACTTAACTCTATGAATGGAATGAATGTTCAAAGATTTTACTAGTCAATATTATATCTGTTTAAAATTTAATTAAAAAGTAAAAGTAACGTAAAGGACTATTGTCACAACTTCGTATCATGTAAGATCCTCCTCAACAAATGTTGACAATTCTCAAAATTGGATTTTGATTCTCCGTTCGATCCAAACATTTTAAAGTTGACATTTGTATTCTCTTCTCAAAAAAAGAGGGTTGAAAAAGTAAGAAAAAGTTTGATGCAAAGAAGTAGGATTTCTTGCCGCCTAAGCATTAACAGACGTTTCTTATTCCTACCTTATTCTTTACCACAGTTGTTCGCGTTTATGTTTAATTTTTCTTTCAATCGTTATTGGTGAATGTAGACACCGGCCAATAAACCTCAATGTTAATAACATGGATATTAATAGCAAAACGACATCCTTTGATGTGGTGTACGCCGCGCTAATCGATAGGCATGGTATCTGAAGCATAGCTTGCTTTGGAAACTCTGAGCCACTCTGAGTGCTCCTGTAGCGCCCCAGCGCGGCTGCTGTGTGTGTACAGCGATGGCAGGGCAGCTGGCCGACTGGCGCGAGGCTTGCGTTTCACATGCCCCTATTGTTGGAGTGAAAAATTGCGTGATATGTATATTTGTGCAATGTATATAATATGTATGTATGTGTTGTAATATACTGGTGTATATATAGATAAAGTATTAATATATAACATATATGTATACGTTAATGTAATAATATAATAAAATAGGGAGTCGGATGGAGAAAGGACGAGGCTGCGGGGGCGAGCTGATTTGGTGAGAGCAGGGAGGTTTGGGGTGATGGGGCGTGGGTGGGGGTGGTAGAAGGAGTGGGGGTGTGTGGTGGGGGGAGGGAGGAGGGAGTGGGGGTGTGTAGGGGGCAGGGGGGGGGAGGGAGGGGAGAAGGGAAAGTATAATATACGATATAATATATAGTATAGTATAAGTATAAGTAGTAGTAGTGATATACATATCAGTATAGGAGTATATATATATAGCATATATTATGATAGGGTATATATAGAGAGAAGAAGAGAGGAGGAGAGAGAGAGAGAGAGAGAGAACGTCCGCCTCTAGTAAAAACAGTTCCATTTTCTCTATGAAACGTCGTGGACAGGTTACTAAAAAATCTAGATTATGAGACAATTTTGTAATGATTTGTTGTATTGTAAATTATGTTAGTTATGTTAAAAATGTAGAAAATTATTGAAAGAATAGATGTCAATTCTTACAATAATATTTTTTTTCGTTATCAATTGCCTTATATGACTTCCCCAGATAATCGCGCTTCACGACAGCAACGAATCCCACAGATGAGGTTGATGTGAAAAAATAAGTATCCCATAATTTACAGCGAATTTGAAGTGCCATTTTCTTTTAAACTTTTTTCAAGGGTGTTTCAAGTGTATAAATATTATATTTCTGAACCTGTCCAATATACGTCTGACTGCGTAGTTGTGTCAACACTAGTTTTGAAAACTTTGTACTTAAATTTCTACTTATCTGTAAAAAATGTAAGTGAGCTTTGTAAAGTGAAACGTTAATACCGTTTCTTTACAGAATGGAATATTCGACTCCAGTTATACCATTCAGTAAAAATTTTAAAGCTGCATAATGTTGCATAATGCTCTATATCTTAAATGTGTCGTAATAAGCCCCTCGAGGGGTATCTCCGATGCCTCCGCGGAGTCGAGTGCAGACCGAGACCGCAGACGCGGGTTTCTACGCAGATCGCGTGCCGGTTTTGAGCAGCGACAGAGAGAGGTACTTCTGGGAGCGGCGAGCTGCGGTGCTTGACCGAGCAGCGGCTCAGTGGTTGGGCCGCTGCCCACTCCTGGCCACAGATCCAGAAGATCAGTTTTATCCGCACTCTGGCGCCGGCTAGAGCGATGCCCACGCCGGACCGGCAAGCGGGAGTTCCAGTAGGAACCTGATAGGTGCCTAGGCGAGCTCATGTGAGCCCAGAGCTACGTGAATTGATGTGCCACGATGACTGAGAGCTACGTTGATTGATTAATTAGTGTTTCGACGTCTCACCTGCTAAGGTTATTACTCCCATAATTGTAGTGCATGTTTCATCGCAGGGAAATTGATGTGATCTTGGAGGTGGCGAGATCCGGCGCTGACCTATACGTTGACGTGCGAACATTTTTCCGTCCAGGTATCTCCCACCAGCAAGGCACCACCACATCCGGGACAACAGTGGAGCTATGTGGAGCGAATTTCAACTTGGAGAAGTTCTTGGGGGTACGGTGGCCCAAAGACGCGAGGCTGGAACTTGGAGAGCGGCACCAGCTTAGATCGCTCAAGGCGACAACTGTTTCTCCTGCAATGTCTCCGACTGTGAGATCTTATGCAATTGCCAATAATCTCCTCTATCAAGCAGACATTCCATTTAACAGACGGTGATCTTTGTCTGTTAAACCTACTAATCTGAACCTAGCAAATTAATGCTAGTTAGTTAATGTTAATGATATTATTCTCGCTAACGAAACCAAGAACTTTTTTATTCAAAATGTTTCATTTCACCCTCATTTAATAATTTCAAATATGACTGATGGATTTCAATTTAATGGACTCTTCTACTCTTGAAATTAACACCAATAGGGTTAAACTATTAATCGGAAATGCACGAATTAAGTAATCCCAAAACATTATCTCTTTTCTTATCTCCTCCTCCCTGATGGCCAATTACAAGATGCGATACAATCGCTGACGCGTTCACTTGGAGCGTGGAGACAATATAATTATTTCGCTGAATCTTTTCTGTAGGTAATTTAAAATCGTAGGTGATTTAAATAGTGGGATAATTTTATTGAAAACCACGCATGTATTGTTAAAATGTCTATATACATTCCCTCGTCGCTAACCGATCAGAAATTAATCTAAAATTTCCCATGGACACCTGGTATTACCTATGATAAAGTATTTGCTTCAGTAGAGGAGATTGGAAATAATATAGCTAAATGAGGCAAGAAAGTTTCGTTATTTATCAACTGTGAATGATGTACCATGAATAACTGATAAACACGTTGAAATATGAATACAGATGGAAATAAGCGTTTTTTCCGAGAATTGATATTACTCGCCAAGCGAATGCATTTTCGCAAAGCTTCACTGGCAATAATGTATTGCTTTCTTTTTGGTTGAATTGAACGTCTTCAAGGGATAGTGAGATGTTAGTAGCGCAGAAAATGCAATATTTCAACATTACGTAGTTGTTTCCAAATAAGGTAATAAGTATGTAGTATTGTAGCATCACTAGTTTTTTGTTTGAGATACTAGTAGAGTGCCTGGCGACTTATCTCATTGGTCTGTGTGCTCGCTTTCCATGACACGACCCCGGGTTCTATTTCAGATCAAGCAAGATTGTTGTGTGCGTTTTCCTTGCAATGTCCCAGTATATGTTGCTGTGTGACGATGAGAAAAATGACAATGAGAAGACTAGAATACGGCGTGGAGATGTCTTTGTGCTAACCACACGTTGAATTGAATTGAATTGAATTGAATTAATGCATTGAATTACGTGGCGAGACTCAGGCCATGAGGCCTGCTCTTCCGTCTGACCACGCAAATTTCGCTACGCTCCTTTCCCCAACCAGCTGAGAAAGGAGGCATTTCTTGGGCTAGAAACAGGCGATTTCAATTTAGCTCAGAGGCGTCATTTAGGCTAGAGGATCTTTTACATGCAAGTAAATCTACTAACATGTGACAGCCGGCATTACTTCCCCTCCGAAGGAAGGCGTACGAAGGATTTGTTCGCCCTAAAAAATCCACGGCTTTGAACCCGCCAACTGCGGTACAACAGTCCGGTACGCTAACCGTTGCACCATCGCCGTGCGCAAACGTTCCCCTCTTAACCCATGGTTGCGAGTCCGGAACGTCGCTGGTAGGCCATGACACGTACACGGGTACAAACAAAACACTTGGAGTTCGTGTTGAGTATGATAAAGTTTTTAACGAGAAGGTTGACCCCAGTTTTTCAAGTATGATGTTATTGAGTTTTCAATGCTTTGAATTATCGTTGGAATTATTGAAGCTATGATACTTGCTATGTATTTGTTGTATGTGTGAATTAGTAATGGAATGAGTACGGCCTGTAAAATTGAGGTGAAAATGTTAGTGTTGATGGTAGAGCTATTGTTATTTGTTGACCTAAGCGAGGTGGATAGATTTGTCTGTTGTAGTTTTTGGGGTGCAATTAGGTATTTGCATTACTTGTGGGAGTGAAGGAAACTTTATAAGTTCTAGTGAAGCTGATGGCCTTGCTTAAGGAGTTGGTCTAATTTTATGAGCTGAATTATTTTGCCTTTTGTCTCTCAGCGTTTTTGTAGAATGCTCATTCATTTGATCGAAGATCTCATCTGTGAGCTCCATTTCAATTTTTACATTTTCAAAGGAAGGGCGAGGAAGTGAAATGTTTTACGGTGCAAAACGCGCACAGAATACTGCATTTAAGTGTTTACGGGTATGACCAAAATCCATGCATCTTAAGCAATAAATCGGTCCTTCTGTTTTCCTTCGCTTTTCGGGTTTAACTATTGAGTTGCAGACGTGTTGATTTGGATGACTGTTTCTACTCTGTCTTTACCACTCGTCTCTACTACCACTGGAATTGGTATATTGTTTTTCATTAGTCTAGTTATTTTGATGACTGACTGAAACTGGGGTTATATGTATGCAAATATTTCTTCTTTGTTAACTGATAGGTGCAAATTTGTATCACTACTGAAAACTTTTTAGGAATCACTGAAGGTATGAGAGTATTTGTTAGTTTCGATGAAATAATTTACAGCACTACGGAAATCTTGTGTGGATCGAATAGAATTTTTGGACATTTTTATATTTTATTTTTAATTTCGTACACGAGTTCAGCGTGGTTGCTTCTAGCAGTAACAAGTATTGGTGAATTTTCCTTTGTTCGGTTGGTTCTTCGAATACTTGTTGAAATATCGTTGAGAATGCTAAATGTTTACGTTGTACAGTTTCGGAATGTTTAATCTACTAGTGTGATGGGTAGTCAAAATACGAAGGCCTAATTGTTTACTACTCTTTAATGGGCATTCAAAAATACTTCTTTTGAACTTTTATATTCTGTATAAATATCACTTTGAGAACTTATGAATTGCCGCTCTGATCCTTTCAATTCTTAGACCTCGCCAATGAGATCCTTTCAATGATGGGTAGAAAAAAAAGAAAGAAATATAATTTTCTGGAAGTTCGATGGTGATATGGACTTCTGAGGTTTGTTTTCATCGTGAGGTATGATATTACATTAAAATGTGTTGTGATGGGTTATTAGAGGGACAAATAAATATAAAAAATAATTTCGTGCACGGGGAAATCAAAAGGAGCATGCGTGTGTTGTAAATAATGGTACGAATGGGAAATGTTAACTGGCAAAGGTTTTTCGCGTGGTGTTTATATTTTCTGCTATTATTATAGAAGTGTGTGTTAGATTTTTGTTTAAAGAAAAAGGAGGAACTGAATTATAACATGTGTTTGTTTCAAGGATGGATATTTCTTTTTATGTCATAAAGATAGATAGAGTTCCCACATCCGAGAAAATAATTAAACATAAACATTCTTTGCGTAAATTTCGTCGCCGCAACTCCGGTTCTGTCAGCCCTCGAATAAATTTTCTGACGGCGGACATACCTCGACGAAAGGATAGGGTATTTCATAATTAGTTATTTTCGGGTTTGTAGGCCGTGGTCCAACGGAGACTGGTCCAAACGTTTCGCCTGCAACTGTGGCAGGCATCATCAGTGGCGTTGAAGGCGGGGGCGAAGTGTCCTTGGCAGCACCGCGTTGACTGTCAATGATGATGCCTGCCACAGTTGCAGGCGAAACGTTCTGACCAGTCTCCGTTGGACCACGGCCTACAAATCCGAAAATAACTAATTATGGTGTAGAAACCGGCCGTGAAAGCATACATTGTATGATAGGGTATTGTTGAAATAAATAAATAAAATAATGTTTCTGAGTATAAGATATTAAATGTTATATAAACTAAAAACCGAATTCGTAAAAGAAAAATCCGTCAGAGTATCAAAGCCTGAGTACTATGCAAATGCGAGAAAACATTTAGTCTCCCAATCACGGTTGTAAAATCATTTAGCATAAAATATAATTCTACAAAAACTTTAATATCCATGACAAAACAAGAAGAGGGTGCTGTCAAGATTTATATGATATAATTTACTATTTCTGAACATGTGTCGGCATTTCTAGTGTATTATTGTACCATTAAAGCTGGTAAAATATTTATCCAAAATAGTTGTGTTAATGAGCATTATCATCCTATGTGAGTAATTATTTTGAGCTTGTGAGCAGTATACGTAGCTACGAGTCTGCAAGTAAAGCTTTATAGTCCGGGAGGTCCGCAGTTTGAGGTCATTTACGAGACCACAAAAGCAGGTCTTTCGATCTGTAAGTATGTACCTATCGTTTCCATATTTACAAGAACCTGCCTCAATTCGGAAAACGGCCTTAAACAACAAGCTCCGAACCACCCTCGTTTCTTCCTTGTCCATCCTGTCTACACTCTTATTCTTGGTTCCGGGATCATTCCCCTTAATGACAAATCGCCCATGATCTCGAAAGACTACGATAGTTTTCAAGTTTGCGGACGTCCTCCATCTACAATATTGCCATGGGAATAAGAGGAATAAAATATTAATTATTTATGATAATAAGCGTGTGCATCTCATGGCTACGGTCAACAATTATTATTTTCTAATATTGATTATTGAGAACAGAATATTATATCAATTTAAAGGGTAATCTTATTCGAGAACTTTCACAAGGAATTTGAATGTAACTGGCAATGTTACTGGTTGTGTACAATGACGGGGCATATGTAGAAAATTTCTACGGTCAAACACAAACGCATTGAATTAACATATTTTTTCATGAAAATTGTGTCAATGTTCTGAGCAAAAAGGGGGTCCCGTTTTTCATGTAGTTTTACTTACTGTCTTATACTCTTTTATTTTTAGCCCTATAACTATTTCAGAAATTTTTAAATAAAGCTGAAATTGTTAATGTGGCTGAATTACGTTTCGAATAGGAAATCATAAAATTCGGAAAATCTGTCAAACCAGTCAACATAACACCAGATTCTTCACCGCTGTTTCTCCCCAGACGCTCTCTGAGTGCCCTTGCGCTGATCCGGGGACACAGCAAGGCGGTGAACCGCATCTTGAGCCGGAAACGTCACGTCCGCACGAGCGGCTTTTCGAAAAACAACGGACGCGCGCGCGCTGCGCTTAATTGGTGCCGTGGCCACTGGAGCGCG